AAAAAAGATACAAAACTTTAACCTTATGGTACACATTGCTAAATAGCTTCCTTCTTTATTTTCCATAGGGACATATGAGTTCATGTTTAACCCAATCTTCAAAACATTAATTTTTTTATTAAAACTTTTTTTTTAAGATTTATTTTTGTTTATTTGTGCATACAAGAACTGGGGTGTAGACCAGAGGTGGTAAAAGAATTCACAGGAGACAGACTGGGGAGCAGAACAGGTGGATCCACTGAAATACACTGCTGAGGGGACAAGAGGTAAGACAGTAGAGGTTTGCTGGGCCATGTGGGTCAGCTCCCTCCCTGGGAGGGAGTCAAAGTCATGCTTACAAGGGTTGGCCATAACTTAATAGTGCTGAGACTTTAACCCCTGCACCATCCGACGGCCCTGTATTAATTATTTTTAATTTAAAGTAATATTTAAGGTATCCCTGGTTGCACAACAGATTAAGCTGCAACCTTATGAAACTAGCCACAGCCACTGCACATGAGAGTTTGATCCCTGGCTATGGCGCAACAGACCTCTCCTGCCAAGCCTGCTGCTCCCTTCAGTGGTGTATTTCAGTAGCTGTGACTGTTCTCCCCATTTTGTCTTTGGTGAAACCTCCCACCCCCCCCTCTGGTCTGCACATCTGGCCTGCACCCACCTTTTAAAAATAAATGTTTAAAAAAATAATAAAGTGGAGCCCTCCCTGGTGACACAGTGGGTTAAAGCACAGTACTAAGAAGCTAAAGCCACTTCAGCATGAGTTCTATCTCGCCCTGGAGGTGACCCACATGGGGCAGCAGACCTCTCCTAAGCCACCTGCTGCACCTCTCAGCAGTGTACTTCGTCAGTTGGCCTCTTCTGCTCCCCAATCTGTCTCTGGTGAATCCTCTCACCGCCCCTGCACCTCTGGCCTGTACCCCAGCTCTGTATGCATAAATAAATAAAATTTTTAAAAAATGAGTGATATTTAGCTACTTTTCCCCCAAAATCATGAGTCTATATTTCTATAAAATAGAGGTGAAACATGAAGAGCTCTTGCATTCTTTCTGTTCAAATATCAATGTATGTTACGGAGGTTTCCTGAAAGAGAAAAAAATACTGAGACAACACAAGTGAAAACAAAGGGAAATAGTGACTTTAGTGTACCTATTTATGTATAGTGTTCTCTATTTAATTATCCCAAGAATAACTCTTTTAAATTAGTTCCATTATCTCTTCCAGTGTGAATTCAAGCCTTTTACACTGCATTGTCCTCTCTTAAGCTGACTTCTCTTTATGACTGCATTGAACATAAGCCCAGGAAGTGTTAAAGTAAACATCAGGAGCACTATTGCTTGGTACTGTGAGGCAAAGAAAGAAATGAGGAGGAAAAGAAAGTGGTGGCAATAGTATAAATAAAACAGACCTATAAAATGCTTTATTGCTAAACATAAGCTGGTTAAAGCTTCCCACTTGTGGCATCTGGACCACTTATTTACCTCATAAACTGGGTGACCATATGAACATAAACTGAGTATATTTAACCCCCCTCATCATTTAGACTAGTAGAGCTTTCGGAATTCCAACATGAACAGTAATTTAGCATGAGTTATTTCCCTATCATAAAAACACGTTACACAGGCCCTCCCTGGTGGTGCAGCGGGTTAAAGCACAGCACTGAGAAGCTAAAGTCACTTCTGCATGAGTTCGATTCCCGCCTGCCCCGGAGGTGACCACATGGCGTGGCAGACCTCTCCTGACCCGCCCACTGCTCCCCTCAGCAGTGTACTTCGTTGATCTGCTTGTTCTGCTCCCCACTCTGTCTCTGGTGAAGCCTCTCACCACCCCTGCACCTCTGGCCTGTACCCCAGTTCTGTATGCATAAATAAATAAATCTTTAAAAAAAAAAAAACACGTTACGTTACACAGACTATTTCGAATTTACCTACTAAGAATTCAGATTGTATTCACTCAAATTAGCACTGTTTTAGCAAGATGCTGCATTGCCAAGGATGCCAGAAAAAGTCAATTTCAGACATAAGAGAGGAAGTCTTCTGAAGCACCTGAACCCACCTCAGCACTGAGGCCTGAGTATACTGGCATTAATGAGCTTAAAAGACAAGGCAGGTAACTCAGGCTTAAGCGCTAAACGAAGTCTTATAGGGATCATATGTGAAACAAGTATTCCTAATTATAATAATAACATATTCATATTTGACTCATACCAGTTTTAAATTACAGTGAAAGTCTTGAGAGACAAGGATAATTCCCCAACAATTCAAAGCTAATACTTTTTTTTACAAGAGCTAAAAAGAATTATAATAATATATATGCCTCATGTACACACTGGATAGACTCAGCATAAATGAATAGCCCAGGTAGTTTCAGATCTCTAAATCGGTTAGCTGAGACAAGGGAAGTTAGGGTAGTAAAGGGAAGTTCAGTTAGGGAATTAGGGAAAACAAAGGTATAAATAATTAAGTTCTGTCTTTTCTAGGGAAAAAAAATAAGATTAAATTGTTCAGAGAGAGGCCCTTGCAGGGAGACATTTATAAATAAATATGAAAACTAACTGTCATACAGCCTCAGAGACCTCCCATGAAATAAAATCCTTGCTAAAACATTATTTTGGGGTGGCAGATTTTTGTTCCCTGTAGTCAACCGTTAGAACCTCTCAAAGTCTACAATTCAGAAGCTGAGTTATTATTTCATAGAACCAGTCTCTTAAACTGGTCAGTCCAATCAAACACTAATTTTTTTTTACCTTTTTTTTTTCCATATGTGCACTTATTCCACCTACTCTCCACCACCACAGATAGTTTTTAATCAAACACAGATTCCCATCTTCAACCACTGCATTTTCTCATTTAAAGCATCTTAGTTTCTTATGCATCCCTGACAAAACACTTTTTGTTGTCATTATTATAACTCACCTATGTAGAATCAATTTCCCCAAGTAAATTGTTTTAGTTTTACTTGAAAACCTCACTAGGCAATGGTACATGCCTATTTAAATATTCATTCTGCTTCTCTTTTCAAATACTAATGAAACATACAACCTGAAACTAATAATAAAGAGGGGTGGGGTAAACCTTGTTATCATCCACACTAGCCTCAGGTCTGCTTCATCTCTTTAATAAAGCTACATAGAAAATGGCACATCCGTGAAACTTATATGATCAAACTGCTTTTCTTTTAGTTTCTGTAACTCCCCCCAAATATTTTAATTCAATATAGGCATTATTTCATAGCCAGAGCTATGCCTTTCCTAGACAAAACATTCCCTAATTTCTATAATTTAAAAGCTCAGGCATGGGTACTGCCCCCTTGGATAGGCTCTTTCATAGCTGTTTGCACAGGACACAGCAAGGCTCACGAGGGAGGAAAAATCTCTGGCAACAAGGCAGAGAGGACGGAAGGTCTCTCCTTAGCTATTCAGTGTTCAGCTTGAAAAAGAAAATGGTGTAAAATTAGTGATTCAATCAGAAGCTATTTGGATCCTGAATTAAAGTTAAGAAAGGCCTGTAGCATTCACTTGCAGCTTACTTAAATATGAGATGAATCTCTACGATGAGAGGCTTTCCAGGAGAGGCTCATCCATCGGGTCTTTTTGCAGGAGCTGAGCAGACATGTGTGACAAACACTAAGGGGCAGTATCAGCAGCAGTTGCATTTTACAGCCTCTGTTGGGAAGGAAGGCGTAAGTACTTAGCAACGGAAAGGAAGCGGCAGGCTAACACATTACCACTGTGCTTCTAAGGCAATCCAAATGTTCTTATCAGTCTAGAATAGGCTAATGGAAACCTTTAAAATCAGGCTTAACATGGAAAGATGAATCTGGTTTCCCTTGCTGTATTCATTTCAGTAGACTTTGTCAGCAGGAAACTAAAAATTGACTCTGCTTGCTGGATCTGAGGAACTGCTCTTTCACAGACTATTCAGGTTCTGGCAGAACAGAGGCCAGGCAAAAGTTCACTATGAATTTATAGCATATTTTAATACACTAATCAAAATGATTTGTTTGCAGGCTGTTTTCTGGTTGAAAACAAGGTCTTGCCATCTATAGTCTGACAACTGTAAAATGCTTTTCTTTGTGCTTCCTCTGAGCTCCCAGCTTCCACCTTCTCTCATATTTACTGAAATTTACACACATTTTTTTTTTATTTCAAATAAGAAGCTTTTTCTCCCATTTAAAAATTTGTGCTTATTCATGTCAAAGTAGGTACAGGTCTTGTTTTCAATTTTTAAATCATCATTTAAACAACGAATAGGCATTGTTTCTTAAATCTAGTCAAATGCTGTCATTACACTCAGATGCATCTTAATTAATATATTTGACCAAATTTGGCGTTATAATTGGTCAGGAAATCTAAGCTTACATTTCCATGTGTGGGTAAATGTGCCATGTATTTCTATCCTTATAAACTCTGGTACTTACAGACCACACATGTCAGATGGAACAATTATGTAAAACACAGTAAAAATAAAACTTGCTTTTCTCAGTACTACTAGCTTGAAAACAAATTAATATACCTGGTAATTTTTCAAGAGCTGTTGATTTATTGAAAATGTCCTGTGACCTTTACATCAGGGTTTCTCTGTCTTGGCACTATTTATCAAAAGGGCTGGATAAATCTTTATGGATAGTCAAGACATTTGCGGTGGATCTCCTTAGAACTAAAATTTTAATTGTTATTGATTAAATTATGTTGTTCAATAAGTAGCGACTGTTATTCTTGGTGTCTGGAAGGAGAAAATCAAGTGTTCGTGATTCTAACACCTTGAAGTCTTTATTATATACTAGATAGCACCAGGTAGAAAGAATGGTTAGGATCAACAGGTTAGACTCAACAAATAACATCGTAGTAATATTTTATAACAGTTATTAACATTGTACCATTTTATTACTAGCTATGTTAAGATTCAACAAATTATACTCATTACCTAATTTCATTACCAAATTATACTCATTACCTAATTTCTATTTCTTTTTTTTATTTAGTCTTTTCTGCAAGGTCACAAAAATGAACATATGTAAACACAGGTGGCCATAATCTTATTTTCCCCTAAAAACAAAAAATACATATTAAGAGTTTGCTTAGGCAAATTTCAGGACTAATGGAGGATGAATGGAAAATCCTTGCAAAAGTCATCAGAAATTGAAGGTATTTTCTACCCTCAAAGATTAGGGTATTTACTGTCCACCTGAGTTTTTGACATTCTGCAAAGATTATTATCAGCATTATCATGCAGGTATAACAGGAAAAAAAGATCCTTGTAATATATACATACTGTTCCTTATAAATCTGCCAAAATTAGCATCTTGTCCATAGGTTTCTAACTCTCTTTAGACTTATACAATCGTTGCTTATGGACAACAAACTCCCATCAATTTGTTTTCAATGTCTGGAATTTACCTACAATGAATATGCACAAGTTAGGTTTTCATGGGGGAATCCAGATATGAGTTTCAGTTATTTCCAGCTAACACTGCTCAACTCATGCTTTTCAGAAGCATAGCTAGGAAACATTGGAAAGACCATATTATACCTCTAAGCAAACTATCCAAAAGTGGAATATTTTCAACAATGTAAAATATTAAATTATAATTACAGCTGTTGTGCAATAATGCAAAAGAAAAGACAGAGTATTGCGACACCTGTACAGAAAATAATGAAGCAGGGAATGCAGGTGCTACTATAATATAAAAGAAAAACGAATGAGATTAAATTAAATAAAAATAAAAATTCCATTATTTTTTCCAGACATCCCAATAAACAGCTTCACCTATTCCTAAGAGAGCATTCTCCAGTTTAGACACCACTATTTTACATTTTATTATTTTTTTAAAAGATATATTTACGCATACAGAACTGGGGTACTGGCCAGAGGTGCACCCACAGTGCAAGGATTCACCAGAGACAGAGTGGGAAGCAGAACAGGGAGATAAACACAGTCCACTGCTGAAGGGAACAGCAGGAGAGACAGGAGAGGTCTGCTGCAGTGCTGTGTCCTAACTCCTTGTGCTACCAGGGAGGGCCCAACTTCATATTTTAATTCAGAGAACAGATTCTACTGTTCTCATCAATGTGACAATAATTATTTTTTAAAAGACAGGAAATTTAAAATGAAATATGCAAAGGATCTTCTCCTGCATAAAACAGACCTTCCATAATATTAATTATAATTTAAGTTTACATGGCCTGGTTCTGCACAAAGGGTAAAATTGATTTGATACTAGTATATGGGCACATGGCATCCAAATGATTATAGGCCTCTGCCACTTGGTTTCTTCACCTTGAATCTTTGGGAACTAGAGCAATGGATCTTTTGATCTGTTTATACATAATGAAAAATCTCCAAGTTTTATATCTGCCCTCAGGTTTCCACTAGAATGAAAGTAAGGAAACTTCTATTTTAAGAACCCTTTGCTATATCTCCACCCCCTAGAACAGTATCTCCCTGGTCTACATTATACACTGACATTCTTTAAATCAAATTTTTTCATATCAATGCTACATTGATTTAAACAATGAAGCCACCCAACCTCAGCACCCAACTTCTCAGTATTCTTTTTGGTTCTTCCACATCTTTCCAATTTCTGAATATTTAAATACCTCAAGCTTCAGTATTTTCTATCAATACTTACTCTTTAGTCTTGTAACTCTGAAATTTTATCTGTCTTTGATTTATCCCCTTACTTACGAATATGTTCACCTGTTCACTCATCATCTCCTGGATGTCTAGTAAACACTGCAACATAATTGAAACCAAGCTTTAGGTAGCTCCTTCTTCCCACAAAATGGGCTGAAGCAGAATCATCTAGCCACATCAAGCGTAGATCAGACTAACTGCAGTCAATCAACAGACCTGTGAGCAGGTTAAATGTATTCTTTATGATCAATATATCAATATTCCCCACTTAAAATTGCAATGCCCCCATCCTGACTCTGATACTCCCTAATTCCCTTCCTTTTTTCTTCCATAGCACTTATACTAACATTCACATATTTTATTTGTATGTCTGGTTTAGCATCTATAGCCACCATTAAAATAGAAGTTCTACTTGGATATAAGTATTTTTTGTCTATTCAATTCACTGTTGTATCCCCAGAACCTAGTCATCACCTACCATTCAAATATTCATTAAAATTATGGTGAATGAGTGAACAATTACCCAGTGTTTGCACTTCTAGCATAATTTCCATATTATAATTCCCATGTTATAATATGGGAGTAGTCTATAAATTCTGTACTTCTGTCAAAAATAGTATCTTAAAAAACAACTCCTAATCAAGTTTTGTTTAACTTCTTTAAGAGTGCTTCCCAAACTGTAAGTTAAGAAAAATACCTGCAACAAATATAAACAACAGATAGCAATGAAAGTTTACAGAGCAGGAGGATTTGTGTGAACCTGTATTATATTCTATCTTAATGGCTATTTCTACAAATTCTCTAAGTCTTTGGAGAAGAACTAGTACTTAGTAAATGCTTGATGAATCGGTACTTTGAAATTACATGTACCTGCTCATTAACACAATTAAACAGAATTTAAAAAAAACGAAAAGCAGATGCTCACTTCAGTTACTGTCTTTTTTTGGCATTAAAATCTTTATTAAAAAAGTACAGTGTGTAAACATACTAAGCTTTCAACTTTTAACAAGCTTTTATAAAAAGAACAAGAGAAAAATATATATATGTAGATGGAGGAAAGATAAAAAGTAAAGTCACTGATTCTGATGAAGCTTAACTTTACAGGTTAGTTGAACATAACCTAGAAAGAATCAGATGATTCCTATGTGATTCTCATTCTACAGCACAGAAAAAAGATGCAAAACTTCCAGTCCATTATTTTCAAGTATTTCCTCACACGTTGTGTTCTATATCCTGACCTCCAGTTTCTCCTGTGCTCAATCATCTTTATTGGAGAGGAATAATTCTGCTGATTTTTTGTTTATGAATTTACTGTTCTGATATTATTTTTTTAAAACCTAAAATATAAGTTTTATGACACTAGGACTTGTTTTAGCCAATGAACCTCTACTGTCTTGACAAATGTCAAGTATTGTAAGCTGTCAATGAATTATTTATTAACAAGATTACTTGCTGAACTTATCTTATGAAAAGGTATTATTGTTACACAAAGAGACCATAGCATAAGAGACAGATGTAGTAAAAATTTACCTATGATCACACAGTAAAAGCTGGAACTAGAATTTGTAAGAAGACAATCTGGTTCAACTCATCAGTATCATTGTAAATTACACCTCTAAGTCCTGTGGTGGATTCCATGTGTACTATTTAATAATGACCTTACTAGATAGTTCCCTCCCAGGAGGGGATACTTTATCTTTACTCCCTTACTGGTAAAAGTCCATCCATATATTAACTGTTCACAACTCCAGTGATTACATACATACATTACTCACTCAATAGTTTTTTCATGTATGTCTCTAGATTGTAAACTTTCAGATTTAATCTTAAAATTGATATTAATATGAACACTGACCCTTCAAAAATGTAGGGATGCTAAATACTTCTTTAACAAAACATGATTTCTGACGAATGGTTTAATTAAATGGATATGTACTCACAATTTTCTCCAAACTGGTTTTTATAGTTTTATTCAACATTAGCATACACCAGGCAAAAAAATAAAAACACTATTCCATTCACATCATTACATACACATGCACATTATCTGATCAAAAAACGCAAAGTAATAGTGGAATTTTAGTAGACACCAAGATTTCAAATACAATCAATCATGCCAGATAAAGACACCTTAACTTACAACAATTGATGCTAATGAGAACACCCTCCGGAGCAATACCTGGCCCAGAAGTCACCACATGTATCTTTCTCCACTAAGTCTGACAACGACTTAAAGACATAAAAGCATGACTAACTTAACAGAGTCCCAATAGCCATAGGTTTACTCTGAGAAGCATGCCTGGTGGGTGGGCTGGACACGGTTTTAAAATGAGATCCCTCCCAGACCGACTCAAAATCTAAAGCCCAACATTCTTGTCTGAGTTCCTCACCGTGTCTAGACTAGGGGGAAGCGACCGTTTCTCGGCAAGAGGATGATGCACAAAACAAAAACCAGCCATTCTGCGTGAAGGCCGAGAAAGCAAATGAAAACAAAGCGCACCGACGAAAAGGAACCCCCACAGCCCAACCGCACCCCCCGTTGTAGGTGGAGCCACGGCAGCACTTCTCGCGAGATTAGTCGACTTCACAAATTGCGGCGCTGAAACCTCGCGGGTTTTCAGATAAGTGGGCAATTAGGACTGCTCTTAAACCCATTTTCCGACTTACAGTACCTGGGCCCCTCCCTCCCCTGGTCCCCAAGCTCCCTAACCCCGGCCTTCCGCACTCTTCATTGAGTGCGGTCCCCAAGGGTGTGTCTAGGGACTTCCGGGGCTCAACCGGAACCGGAAGTTGGGAGGTGAGGGGGTGGGGCCGACAAATCAAAAAAAGCGCGGCGAACACTGGAAGCTGGAGCTGGCAGGTTGCTGATGGTGGGGTGCTCCTGGAGGGGCTGCGGCCAGTCCCGATGGACTCCACCGCCTGCTTGAAGTCCTTGCTCTTGACCATCAGTCAGTATAAAGCCATTAAATCCGAGGCGAACGCTGCCCAGCTTTTGCGGCACTTGGAGGTGAGGGGCTCCGGGATTGGGGACGAAATGGGTTTCCTGGAGTCAGTCTAGATACCTACCCTCATTTCCCTCCACGTCCGAGCGATTACTGAGTTAGACCTAAGAAGAGTGAGGGTAGGGCAAAAGGTTAGGGAATTTTTTTTAACTGTGTTTGGGGTGTTCGAAGGGAACACACGGAGCTGTGTATTTTCCTGATTTATTTTTTCTCGTAGAGTTCTCGATATACCTCGGTTATTGATGGTGGAGGTGACGAAGATAGATGATTAAAACTTGTTTTATCCCTTGTCCTTTATCAGTTTACAACCTGAACCTGTTGCTTACTGCATTTGGTTGAACTCGAACTTAGGAAATATTTTAACTTTCTCTGAGCTATGAAGCAGTCTCCGTAGTCATCATACTTTATTTTTTCTTTGCTAAAATACATTGTTCACAGTTTTTTACCCTAAAATATAGAATTGTTTGGCTTGTTTCTAGAGTGCTCATTGCCGCTTATTCTGATTATTTGTGAGTAGGTTTTTAGCATTTGCAAGCATTTCTTATGTATTCATGAAATTCCAGCAGACATTGCCCTCTGTTTAATAAAAACAAGCTCAACCAGAGTTTAAGTTTCTCTGGGGCAACGTTGTATCCGTAAATTGAACATAATTTTAAAATATATTCTGTTTGTTATATGATGTATGGCAAAAGTTAAGTAACCAAAGATGAGCAAGTATTTCAGAGATGATTGTGACTGGAACAACAACGTCAGCCTTTGTTGAAACTGTGGTGTATTGAATGTATCTTTGTTCTCTAACTTCACAGGTGCCCCTTTTACTATTTAGGCTGTCCATTTCCAAAATAGTTCTCTCTTTTCATTCATACCTCAGTAAATCCCTACAAACATAATGATTAAGGAGTTAATTGTTAAATACTAAAATTTTGTTTCTCAGGATTAAACAGTGCACTAGTGGCTGCTAGGAAGGTAAAAAGTAAGCAGAGCCGTTGGTTTTATTGATCAAAAGAATTAGAAGGTAAGTATTTTAGATATGAATCTGAAGCTTTACCTCTCTTTGAGGATGAACAGGTGTGAATTAAGGAAGACTTCAAAGAAATTTGAAACTTAGACTACTCTGTTATACTGTGTTCCCAAACATTTATGGAGCTTACCTAAAACTCTTCTGCCATTTAGCGAAATAACACACATAAACTGCTAAGATGCATTATTAATCTTTTAAGAGAAGAACTGGATGGCTATTTTTTTTTAGCATGTGTACAGTGAAGTGGCTACCACCCTATATCATCCTATAGAATTTTTGCAGCCCTCAGATTTTTTCAATTATCCTTTCTCATAAATTTAGATAATTGAACACATAAATGTATTTTGGTGTCTGGCTTATTCCACTCAGTGAAATTCACTTAGTTGCACATATGCTAGTACTTTATTGCTGTCTAGAATCCCTTTGTATAGATAAATAACACACTTTATACTCATTGTGTTGATAGGCATTTGGGTTGTTTTCAGTTCTGGGTGGAATTTTGATGTGCTACAAACATTTTTAATCATTCTGTAGCTATATCTATTAATTTCTCTTAGATACCTACCAGTGGGACTGTATGGCTTAGGGTAGGTTTATATTCAGTTTTAGTTGAAACTGTCAAATAGTTTTTCAAACACCACACCATTTTACTTTGCTACTAGAAATATATAAAAAGAAATTTGCTATTTATTCACCCACATTGGTACATAGTGTTTTCAGATTTTTAAGTTTTAACCATGATATTAATGAGGCCACACTTGATGATAGAGGTGGTTTCTATGGGAGAGTTTGTTCATTCTGCTGTTTTACTACACTTTTTTTTTCTTTATATCCCTTGCAGATTTTAAGTTTTGATTTTTTTTTTTTTTTTTTTGGATTGGCAGAGCTGAGTTGGTCTCATTCTTGATGGTTTCCTACACACAAATCTTATGTAATGATAATGAGCATGAATTCAGGAATAGTGAATACCAGTTGTGCTACTATTTGTCTCAATTTACTACTTTGCAAAGCAGTTTGCATCTACCTTAGAGTTGCAGGAAGATACAAAGATTTAGCACACCAACTCAAATTTAAGAAAATAAGTAACCCTATCAAAAAATGGATAGATCTAAATAGACACATTCCTAAAGAATACATAAAAATTACAGCAGACACATGACAGAAATGTTCACCATTACTTATTGTCAGAGAAATGACAATGACATGCCATCTCACACTCATGGGAATGGCCCAGAAATAAAAAGTGGTTCTGAGGTGTGGAGAAAAAGAAATCCTTGTATGTTGTTGGTAGGAATTAGACTGGTCCAACCCCTATAGAAAACAGTATACAGGGCTCTCAAAACACTAAAACCATCTACCATATGATCCTGCAGTTCTACTCATAGGTATCCAGAGAATAAATACACTAATTTGAAGAACCATGTGCACATTTATATTCATAACTAGTTATTACAATAACTAAGCTATGGAAACAACCTAAGTGGGAAATAAGTGGTAAATAAAGAAGTTGTGATATGTGTACATAATGGAATACTATTCTATAAAAACTTTTAAAAAGTTTAAAACAATGAAATCTTGCCATTGTAACAACATGGATAGAGTGAACTTGCCTTTGTAACAACATGGATAGAATGAAGGGAATAAGTAAAATAAGGCACAAGAAGAAAGATAAATACTGATGATTTCATGTGAAATACAAAGGAAAAAAACAAAGGAATAAACCAAAACTAACCCTTAGAAATTTGCGTGCAGAACTGAGGCTGCCGGAGGGGTTTGGGGTAGTAGGAGTTACAGGTGGAGGCTGCCCAACGGCCAATGGCTAATAACTGAGGATTATTAATGTGCTTTGGTGATGGGTGTGGTTTGGTAACATAGACTTAAAGAAATGTAAAATTATATCCTTAAAATATTCTTGGTGGGGGCCCTCCCTGGTGGCGCAGCGGGTTAAAGCACAGCACTGAACATCTAAAGCTGCTTCCGCATGAGTTCGATCCCACCTGCCTGGGAGGTGACCACATGGCGCGGCAGACCTCTCCTGACCCGCCCGCTGCTCCCCTCAGCAGTGTACTTCGTCGATCTGCCTGTTCTGCT